AGAGAGAAACATGTGGGAGGTAAGGGTGAGAAAGAGCATGATCAGCTAAGAGGGAAATATCAGACTTTCCAGTTACCTGTTGTTGGTCTACAAACAGAACAAGACATGTCCTGGACAACAGAGCATTTGTTAGTGGGTTAGTCATACTTCTGTGTGATGTGAAGGGGTTACTTCCTTCCAGGCTCATTGCTGTCCAGACAATTAGCTTGTATCCACTTCAGGTGTTCATCTGTGGACAAGAGAACTCCTGTTTGGATGCCAGCTGGAATTTGACCCTTCCACTATTCCTGGGCTCTATCTTGTTGCTGGTTAAAAGTCACTGAATCTGCACTCTCCACCTCCTGCTGCAGTGACTTCTCTTTAGCCACGGTGAGAATGGCTAGTTGGGGACTTGCTAGCCAAGGAGGAGAAGGTGAAGAGAATGAACAAATGGGTTCAAGAGAGAAAGAGGGGGCAAGAGTGAGGAAAGAAGAAGAAGGATGGACTTGGTGGAGACAGAAGGAATGGTCAAGCAAAGGTTAGGAAGTAGAAGCAAAGAAAATGGGGATGAATATAACAGAAAAATCTTGTCAATGAGCTTTATAGAAACCCTAGAATGTGTGTTATATTGTACTACATGTTCCAAAACAGCAAGCCACGCGGAATGCTAACCTAAACCATCTCTCATGACAGGACACATATAGCAAGTCGTTTTCTCAGCACTGAACTCATGTTAACAAACAGTCCAAAGCTTTATGTGTCCTCAAACTCTTAAAGTCCAATAAACACACCTGGTTGGAAACTGGGGAATTATAAGGAATGCACATAAGGAACTAAGTACTAGTTAGGATCCAGGGTGAGAGAGAAACAAGGAGAAAATGTCCATTGTGGTCTAGATTCTGCTCTCAGTAAATCCAGTCACACACACATGCACACACAATTTACATTGGTGTAACTGATCCTGGAATCTGGATGCCAGAGTGCAAGGAGGAAACACATAGGAGCACGATGGAGAGAAGAAAAGGTTTTAAACTGAAGGTGTTTAAATTAATAGTTATTTTTTAAGTTCTTGTTTTTTAAAAAGGCTTCTCTAGTACTTGTGTGCATGGTCTTACCCATGTCTGCAGCAATCCTAATGTTAGCTGGGAGGACATGATTTGCTAGCTGGGAGGAGAAAAGGGTGTATTTCCTGATGCAGTCAGAGAAGTGATGAGACACTCTCAGACACACCAACTTTGCTGACTTTTCACCCTGTGGCTGAAACACCAGCTTTTCTGGTCTGTCATGCCAGACAGTGACCTGGGAACAGGGCTTCCTCCAGAACGTTGAGGATTAGAATGAAAGAAAATGGAGAGATTGTGTCCCAGGCAGAGGTGATAGTAAGCAAGTGCACTGAGCTGCGGCAAAGAGCTGGCAAGAGCTGGCTGAGCTGTGGCAAAGCCGGCAGGGAGTTATTTAAAGAGCTGTCAGATCCAGGTTGCAATAGGACAGTGTCAGTAAGAAATTTTAAGTTACTTTCACTGATGGTCCCAGGCCATCTTAGGACATTACATTAGTCTTGTTCCTATCTTAGCGAATATACCCAAGGTGAAATATTCGCTTGTGTGGATGGGTCAACCCCTGGAAACGTCTGGCCAGGCTGCATGCTGGGGTGTCCTCACAGGCACATAGAAGGGAAGGAATACTGCCTCTAAAGCTGCCGAGAAACAGAAGATCTACAATAAGTCTGTTGATGCCATGTCAGGATTGCAATAGATAGGTCCCCACTGTCACTGTGGTCCCAGCCGTGAGGTGAAAAGCTGTTGTATTGCCTAGTTATGGTGCTGCCACCCCAGCTCAGTCCCCTCACTGCAGCTTGGTGTCATCAGCTCACCATCCAACCCACTCTGCAGGCTGGGGCACAGGGATATCCTGCAGGACAGAAGTCTTCATGGGCCTCATATCCCACCCTCAGCAGAAATGAGGCAGTTCTGTTGGGCTGGGCCCTTCATGGCTACAGGAAAAGGCTGCAGAATTTGGCTCTGAACTGTCTGTATGATAGAGAAACATCAAGGAATAACAGTGGATGGCTATTGTCCCTTGGGGTTCTTACAGAAGGGATGGCCCAGTGTTGGCTTGCTAACTTGGGATTTAATCAACCTGTGTTAAATTTTCTGCTTCATCAAAGTCTCCACTTTAAGAGTTTGTCTCTGTGCCTCAGTCCCTCATGTGTAAAATGATGAAACTAGAACTTCCCTACTTTACAAGAATGCTGTGAAGGTAAATGCATCAAAGATTCCTAGGCACTCATATACCACAGTCACGGGGGCCACAAAAGCATTTACAATAGATACATGTGACGTGAGGTCTCTCTTAGCCAACAAAGTGTTTAATAAAATAAAAGTGAAGAGTCATTAAAAAACAAACAAGCAAGCAGGCACCTACATTGCACCTGTAAAATGCGTGGACTTACAAACAAGTTGTGTGGTCCCATTTGAACATGCAAGCTGGAGTCTTGCACAAAATGGATGTGTGAGCGTGCAGTAGGTGGGTGCAGATACCTGAGTGCAACTCAGCCCCCCTTTTTTTCCTTCAAATATTTGATTCAAAAATATCATCCTTTAGCTTAGCTGCATGCCCACATTGTATTGGCAGCTGCCAAGCAGGTGGACAGCTCAGAGTAACTGAAGTCATTGAAGCATAAATTGATTTCAGTTTAGCTTTTTGTGAGTTTCATCAGTCTTACTCAACCTTGCGGTAACATTACTTTAATTTATGGGTGGGAGATATATGAAGTGGGTGTAGCAAGATTATTGTACCAGATTACAAAGCAATAGCTTTGAACAGATTAATTTTTCCAGCTGTGAGAATTTATTGCTCCATGACCCGCCTACCAATGTAGCAGGGAAAACAGTGTTTGAAGAAGAATTGAAGAATGGCGATCCTTCTTTTCACTTTAGAGCAGAATCAGTGGTTGTGTGTCCTGCTGATATTATTTAACCCACATTTAGTGAAAAGATGCAGCTGTTGCTTTATGCAAAGACTAATTATACTTCAGTTATTTTGAAAACTGACCCTGGAGTCAATATTTTTTTGACACAAATAAAACAGGTTCATTGGTGATTAATGAAAAGAACAGAGAGATTTGGATTTTATAGCCAAGATAGGAAGAATATCCTTTTCATAGTAATTGTCATCTCCTTTGCAGTACAGATAACCTGTGAGGAGTATGCTTTTTAACTGGCCACACCATTAAGAGGAGAAACCATTTTGATTTGAACAGAAAACTTCCTATAGCTGAAATTATAACCATTTTAAATGAACAGCTATAATAGAGGAATAGCCAGTGAAGTCTGACTGACACTCTATAATGATTTATCCTGGACTATTATAAACAGCGCTGAATTTTGCCTATCATGAAAAGTGCCTGGCTACGTCTAGATTGCATCCCTTTTTCATAAAAGGGATGCAAATTAGACGTATCGCAATTGCTAATGAAGCGGGGATTTAAATCTCCCCCGCTTCATTAGCATAAAAATGGCTGCCGCTTTTTTCGGCACGGAGCTTTGCCGGAAAAAAGTGCTAGTCTAGACGCGGATCTTTCAGAAAATAAAGCCTTTTCCGAAAGATCCCTTATCCCCCTTAAAAGAAGGGATAAGGGATCTTTCGGAAAAGGCTTTATTTTCCGAAAGATCCGCGTCTAGACTGGTGCTTTTTTCCGGCAAAGCTCCATGCCGAAAAAAAGTGGCAGCCATTTTTATGCTAATGAAGCGGGGGAGATTTATATCCCCGCTTCATTAGCAATTGCGATACGTCTAATTTGCATCCCTTTTACGAAAAAGGGATGCAATCTAGATGTAGCCCCTTTGTTTACATGGGAGTTTGAGGAAAAAATAAACATTTAAAATTAAGTTCCATGATTCTTTTTTATTTCATTTTAAAATCACATTACAAATAATAACCTTCAAAATAATTCAGTAAAAAAATACAGGCATTATTTTGGAGCCAAATCCTGAGCTGGAGTGACTAGTCAATTGTAGCTACATTGACTTCAGTTGTGCAACAATAATTTACACAAATTGTGGAGCTGGTCCTCACATTTTACAAGGCCAAATAGTAAGTTAGTTTCACCCAAGCCCCATTCCATGAGATCAGACACAGAATGTGGCCTACTGAAAAGTATTTGCTATAACATACCATTTTGAACTTTGACATGGTTATTAGCTACTCTACCATCAAGAGAAAGAGTGAAAAGTACTTGTCCTTGAGGAAGATGGGAGATGTTATTCTCCATCTGTCAATAACATGTTCTACAGCTCTTTTTAGCCTTTCCTATCTTATTTGTTTATGCACAGAAAGGTAAAATGAATGATCAGCTATTTCAGTGTAGGCTTATTTATTTCATAAGATACAAAATGTATAATTAATTAGATGATATAGATTAGGTACCAATTAAACCTAAAAGAGACATGTTAAAATCCCACAACTACATTATAATCTTTCAACCTTTAATAGCCAATGTCCTTTTCATGTCAATATCAGACACTGGGTCATTTGACCCTTTCTAGGCCTGGTCTACATTAGACCAGGAAGGTTGGCCTAAGGTATGCAACTCCAACTATGCCAATGGGAGCAAACTCTCTCATTGGCTTCCCTTACACATCACAAAAGGAGATGTACCAGATGCTGGCAGGAGCTGCTCTCAGTGTTTGATTTAGCAGGTCTACACTAGATTCGCTAAATCAAATGCCAGAAGTTTGACCTCCGGAGTGTCAGTCTTCCGGTAAGCATACATGTGCCCTGAGAGCCTATTCAATTCAGCGAGAGGCTATGTTTCTTTTTCAAGATGCTCAATTCTAAATTGCTTGTGCACAGTATTTTGCAAGACAACACTTAGTATCTCACAGCATCATATTTGGGAGTTTCATTGTCAGAGCTAGAACAGTTTGTTTCCAACCACAAAAAAATACCCCAAACTATGGAGTAGCATATACTGTGTATATACTGAGTAGCATATACTGTGTATTTGAGATGACACATACATTCCGTACATTCAACTTCTTCTATTCTGTAACTTTAAAAAGAAAAAGAAAAGAAAAGGGTGGCTGATTTGGAGAAAGGCCCCATATCTGCCATAATTTAACCTTTACATTTAATAAAATTCCTGGATCCCAGGACATGGTCTATACCCTGATTATAACCCACCACCTCTTTATATTTAAAGTTGATTCCTCTTAGCTCTAACACTGACCTCATTTTTGTACAACTGCACATAAGGGGGAGCCAGAAAGAAGGTATGAGGAACCTGCCAGAGTTTCATTAGGAAATAATCTTTTTTGCACTCACTATGTTTTCTAAGCCTTCTCCAATATCTTTGATTTATTTTCTTCTGCACCAAAGATTTTCTCTTTCAATAATTGCCTTACTTTCGTTGCAATACTCCTTTGTCACTTTCTCTTTACATCATTCCTTGTACCTTTCCCTTGTACTTGCGCTTTGTAAATAGGCTTTACTGCCCTTCGAAAGGGCTTAATTATTTAACATTAGCCCAAGTGAATTTGTGCTGAACAAACATTTCCACAGTGATCAACATGAGGAAGTGCCAGAGTCATACTAGGGGGAAAGAAAGAAGGCAGAAGAGGAAAGGAACAGAGGTGTTGGTACACCTGCTTGTATCCAAGGTTGCTCTTTCCCCGCGGACCCTTAGTGATGGTTAATAAATCATTTTTATGCACAAGTTTTCACTAATATGCTTCGGTCACATGGGGACCAAAAATTTAGAAAGGGCCCGATTCAAAAACTCCCATTGATTTCAATGGCTTTGGGTCATTCCCATAGAGACAGAGGATACCTGAAACCTCGCTGTGGTTATAAGAACTGAAAAATGCTCTTGTCGTGGCAAGTGCAGTGCTAATAAATAGCATTTTGCCTTTATATGGTGACTTTCATTCCAGGATATCCAGTCTCTGTACAAACACTGAGCCCTAATGATAGGGCCAGAGAAATTAAACACGTGGGCCAAGGTTACCCAGAAAATTCATGGCAGAACCCAGATCTCCTGCTTTCCTTCCCATTTCTAAGCTTTAACCACAAAATAATCATTCCCCTTCAGAAAATGACAATCATTCCAGGTTAAAGTAGTATGTAATCCACCCTGCTCATTAGCCCTGGGGGAATACAAAGCACATGTACTAGCAGAAGCTGGGCATGAGTAAAGCTGGAGAGAATAGCATACATCTAAAGCATAAAGTTCAGATATGAGAAATGGACAGTGGCAGACCAGCACTGCACAGTTTGTGATTTGACACTTGTGGTAACCAGAACAGCTATTATTGCCATGGGAAACAAAGGAAACCAGAAGGATCTTTAGAAAACACACACACACACACACACACACACACACACACACACACACACACACACACACACACACACACACGTTAGCTGAAAACAATGTGGAGAACAGAAATCACTGCAATGGTGATTGAACAGAGCAAACACATCTGGAAATCACTGCAAAATTGGTAGTTGCATAACACATAAAAGTGCAATAAGCTTAGACTTGGACAGGTATTAGAGTAAGAGACAGACTGCAGATTTCTGGGTGCTACATGTTTTTTGGCTGAATACATTAATGTGTTTTGGACAGTGTTTGCTAGTTATCCTGTAAATGCAGCAGCCACACAACCCACATTTAGAGGAGTTAATTGTAACATGTTCATAAGGAAGTTCCTTTTTCTGAGTTAGTAGGAAATCCTTAATTTTCATGACAATGGAAAGAAAAGCAAGTGCTCCTGTACAAGACTCAAAGGCATCTGTAGGAAACTAACTTCCAATTTAGAATCTGAATAGGGGTTACAACTTACCTGGGATAAACATTTAGCCAGTATTTGATTGCTTGCAAACTAATTGATTTTACCAAGTGCACTTACATGAAAGAAAAAAAAAGAATCTTTAATGTAGTTTCGCTTCAGCATAAATAAATTTCTGAATTATTTTAAAAATGCATGCTAAGTCTGCTCAATAGGTTCATTACATGTATTTTATATCTATAGTTTTAAATGTTGAGTCATCATTTTTGTCTAACATAGGGCTAGTTAAAAGAGAAACTTTAAAGGAATTACAGCATTACCTGGAGGTTCTACCACAAAGTGGAGATACTCCCTCAACCATTTATTTCCATGCACTTTGCAAAATGTTGCTTGATTGTGATATGCAACACACACGGCAACTAGCAGAAATTTCTTTCATAGTATGTACGCTCAGTGTAAAAACAACGCTAAACACCGCTGCTGCTTTCATTTATCTCAAGTTTTTGTAATTACACTTTTGTGAACTTTGTTTGAAAAATTTTCATAAATATTGTTCTATTGCTAAACTATAAGCATGGTATGCTCTGATGTGCTCCATCTGAGAAGCTCAGAGAACTTTAGAAACATTAAATTTCAAGCACATCTATGAAATGCAGTAAATATTGTTTATATTCATTTTACAGATTGGCTTAATAAAGCATGAGAGAAAGATCAAAAGCTTTTTTAACCAATGTTAATTGGAATCCATGGAAAGACTCCTCATTTTGGATCAGGTCCTAAATGAATTTCTCAAGAGCACAATAATACCAGAATCCAGCAAACCCTAATCTTTTGCACTAATGCCACATATATTTATTTTTGAAGATACCTTGTATTTGTGTAAAATATTAATAATAATATGCAAGCCTATAGGTAAATAAAAATGAAATATCCACCAATTTTTTAAAACTGATTGTTTTAACAAAGATAAAGTTTTGTTGGGAGGGAGGGAGGTTGATTCTTAAATCCAAATTTGTATTGAAAATTTTAGCAACATGCTTAGTGAATCTATTAATCTATAATTGGATTCAAGTCAATCCAAATCATTCAAAGAATGGCTTTGTGAAGAGGAAAAATATTAATATGATAAAATATTAACAAAATATCAGATTTTTAAAAAAGACAACTGAACAATTATTTTAAAAAAGAAATGCACAGAAACCACTTTTTGATGAACATTTTTTCATTCAAACCATTTCAACAGCTGTGGTTGTTGGTTTTGCTGTGATCATAGGACTATTTCATAGAAAGCAAAGAACACGAATTCACTGATTAAAAAAATACTTAGCAGGCATGTTAGACTCAGAATAACTAAGAGCATCCTCTTCTCTAAAGGGAAAAAGTTATGTGTATGCAAACATGTTTTCCAAATATTTATGTTTATCTCTCACTGACATGCTTCCAGCCTTCCCAATATCTCACAAGCAAAACTTGAACAAACAGTTATTGACTATACACATATTTTGGGCCCGATCTTGCAGCAAATAGCTCATGCAAATAGCTCCAATGATGCTTACTCACCACCTGACTGAACATTAGTCATGTTGACTGAAGGTTTTCTTCCTCTTTATCACCAGGTAAAAAGACCTTCTTAAAACTCACATCTTCCACAACATTTTCCAGCAATGATTTCTCCAATATTTTGAGTCAGACTTGTCTCTGTGTTAGATTGTGTTTGAACTGTCTTGCCTGTGACTGATTTAGCACCCAGCTTCCCCAGACAAGCTGTCCCAGAGAATTAGTAGAAATGCATAAGAGTAAATGCTGTGGCATTGGTCTTTAAGATTATATGCTTCTTGGGAAAGACACTGGCTGTGTCTAGACTGGCAAGTTTTTCCGCAAAAGCAGCTGCTTTTACGGAAAAACTTGCCAGCTGTCTACACTGGCCGCTTGAATTTCCACAAGAACACTGACTTCCTACCGTAATAAATCAGTGCTTCTTGCAGAAATATTATGCTGCTCCCGTTCGGGCAAAAGTTCCTTTTGCGCAAAGCTTTTGCACAGAAGGGCCAGTGTAGACAGCTGAGATTTGTTTTGTGCAAAAAAGCCCCGATCGCGAAAATGGCGATCGGGGCTTTTTTTTGCGGAAAAGCGCATCTGGATTGGCACAGACGCTTTTCCGCAAAAAGTGCTTTTGCGGAAAAGCATCCGTGTCAATCTAGACACGCTTTCCCGCAAATGCTTTTAACAGAAAACTTTTCTGTTAAAAGCATTTGTGGAAAATCATGCCAGTCTAGACATAGCCACAGTGTCTTAGGGTACGTCTAGACTACAGGCTTTTGTCGACAGAAGTTTTGTCGACAGATATTGTCGACAAAGCTTCTGTTGACAAAGAGCGTCTAGACTACATTCAGTTCTGTCGACAAAGCAAGCTGCTTTGTCGACAAAACCCTGTAGTCTAGACACAACCCTAGATGCAATAACACCTTCTGTCGACAGAACTCTGTCGACAAAAGGCCTTATGCCTCGTAAAATGAGGTTTACCAGCGTCGACAAAACTGTATAGTTTTAGTTTTGTCGACAAAAGTCCACTTTTGTCCACAAAACTCTGTAGTCTAGACACACCCTTATACATTGATATAGCTCCGAATACACTGACCATTCTTTATTATAATTTGTTTTGTGATAGTTCCCAGAGACCCCCATCAGGACAGGGAGCTATCCTGAGCAAGGCTCTGCACAAAATACATAGAAAATCACCCCAACACTTGGAATTTTAAGTTTAAATAAATAAGCACAGACCACATGTGAGTTCAAGAACATAAAGGCAACTAAGGTTTACAACATATGTGTGACACAACAGCAGCATCTACCAAAGCCATGTTGGCATACAGGAAAGTGAAGGAGGCATAACTGAATGGAAGAGGCAACAGCCCTAATTCAGGTAGATGAGTGGGTTGTAGCGGCTTGGAGTGGTTTGCTGTTGAGGGTGCTTTTATGTAAGCCTATCAAGATAATAATGAGCTTACTGCACGTTTGGGAAGTTTAAAGGGTAGCTGGCTATTTGTTCACATTTATTGCAGGTTGCATCCTATCCTTTACAAAATTCAACTGCCCAAAGCTTTTTATGTAAAACTTACCCCAAGCCTAAAAAAACCCATACTTCTTGATGATTTTTTTTTTTTTGCTAAACCCTCATTAACTCCACTCACGCTGTCTCACTCTGTCTGCCACTGCTTAAGTAGTGCTTTTTTAAAAAAGCAACCAATTAGCACCTCATCAGCTCCAATTAGAGGAGACAAAAGCAGTGTAAAGATAACTCAATGAGAGGGGGTGGTACAACATCATGTAATCACTTAAGACAGCCTTGAGCATTCACTGTGCTAACTGTGCTGGGCCTATTCACCTTTTTTTCTTCCCTTTGGATGCATTTAAGACTGTTTTGCTGGGAAGACTGGCCTCCCAGGAGTCTCATAGTTCCCCATTCAGGGGCTACCTGTTTACAGCTCACAGAGCAGAAGGACCTAAACAATCCTATATTGTACGCTTAGTGCTTCCTTAAACTTAGGCCACAATAATGGCATGTTTTCAGTGGCTGGGCAGAGTAAGTTAAAGGCTGGCTTTATACTCATTAAGTGTTCTGGTTGTACTGTCTTCTAATTACATGGGAGGGCAACAATATATTTTTTTCAATGGGAGTTCTTTGGAGCAGTTAATTTGGTGCCTGTACTAAATGCCCCAAACATTAATTAGTGTGGAAGGAACCCTAATTTCCTCAGCAGCTTTCCTCTCCATTTACTCCCCTTGTTTTCACATAGGCTTGGATGAGCCTCTATAATGAAATTACCTCATTAATGCCTTTATTCTTGCACAGTAACTCATTCAAGATCTACCATTTAGCTTTAATTTAATGCTGTCAAAAGCAAAAGGTGCATTCATGGCTTTGATGAGTGAATTTTTTTCCTCTCTAAAGGGCGGACAGATTTAAATTATTAAGATGGCAAGTAGTGAGTTATAATTGGATACAAGCAGCACTTCAGTGAATATTAAATGCTTTCAAACCCTGGCCTATGTAGTCTGCTGACTATTAACTGTGTCCAGCAGGTTTTTCTGTGGTTTCTGAATTAACGGCATCTTAACGACTGTGAAGCAAATTAAGTTTAATTTTTGTTTATAAAGCTGGTGGAGATGCCTTTTATCCACATGCCATTCAGGCCAGTTTTCTCCATTGTCCTAGCCTGACCTCATCCCTTGCTACTACTGGGAATCTGGGACTTCATCCCGTACTCCTTATACACACAATGCTCCCACAGTGCCCACTGGGAGACTTGCCTGAGTAAGGAGCATAGAATAGGACTGCTGAATTGCAATGATCACAGCTCTTGATGTTCCTGATAGGATAACCAAGCTGAATGAGCTTTCAGATGGAATCCACCAGCCTGACAAACAAACCAGCCTGCATTTCCCCTTTAAAAGTTATGATCGTTAGCACTTATATAGTGTTTTCATTGATAAATCTCAAAGGATTTTACGGAGATGGATTAAGCAAAAAGTTAATACACTTAAAACTGCTGTACCCAAACAAGGCAACTCCACCAGAGAAGTAGATCACATCAAAAGCCATTTTATTACCCTGAGAGAACCTGCTTCAATATAGAGAAAAAAAGAGTCAACACCCCCCTTATGCACACTAACTGCACACACTTTGTTTTCACTTATCACCCCACGCTGGAACTCATACAGGGTCTTATTGAACAATGATACCCCATACTTGATGGGGACCATATCCTGAAAGAAATCTTTCCCAAATCTCCACTTCTGGCCTCCAGTTACCGCCCACCACAATCATCATTGGACTTCCCACAATTAAGGACACACCACCTCAAAGCAGCATCAAACCCTGCTAGAACCACACAACAAAACCTGCAGACATAGCTACACAGCTACAATGACCAGTGCCCCTCACTATGCACCTTTCAACATCCATGCATCCTACACATGCCTATCATAACATGCTGTGTACCTCACTCAGTGCTCTAAGTGCCCCAATAACAACAGTGTTGGTGAAGCCAGACAATGACTATGCTCTTGAATGAACGCACACAGAAAAATGATGAAAGACAAAAATATTGTATTATCGTGGATGAACACTTCACAAAACAATCACTTCATATCTGACCTCTCAGTTTTCCTCCTCAAAGGAAATCTTCAGAGAACCTAAACATCATGGACACAGTAAAAACATTGTTGTAATGAGCCATAAATACAATCTGTAACCCACTAACCCCTTTATTGTGTCCAGTGGCTTCAGAGGTATTAGCTGATCACTTCGCCTTGACCGGTCACTTGCAACAGCCTTTGCTTAACAGTCTATTTTGTATCTAGCTGCAACACTCTGAGGCCTAGTCTACATTGCAAAGTGAGGCTGATATAAGCTGCTGTGCATTGACCTAGTTGTGCATATGTCTACACGTGTGTTTATTTCCCACCAATGTGTTTATTTCCTACCGTGTGTTTATTTCCCACCCGTTACCCCAACATAGTAACTCCACCTCCCCAAGCATTCTTGAGTCAGGGTAAATTTACGGAGATCAGCACAGTGCAAATCATGATACTGTGTTGCCTCTAACAATCCTCTGAACACTGTCCCACTCTGCCTCACACTGATTATAGTGGTCACAACTGTGAACTCGACAGTCCAGGGTTCATGTAGACTGTCAGCCAGCCCAACCCATGTCCAACCTTAAAACCTCTGCTTACTCAGCTCAATGAATGCACCTCTAGCTTTTCTTCATTGGTGTGTGCATCTGCCCAACTGACCATGCTGGCTGGATGCTTCAGACACATGCCGGCCTGCAGTAAAGAGGAAGATATTGAATCACCTGGTCTGTTGGGAACAGAGGCTGTGCAAATACAGCTATGGGCCAGTGATAGGAATGTCAGCATTGGAGAGCAGATTGCTCACGGAATGCAGGAGAAGGGGTATGACAAGGCTGAGCAGCAGTGCTACGTGTATTTTGTGCTACGTGTAGTCCTATGAGCCTAGGAACTGCAGCAGGAAGACCAATGGTTAATTGGGAACCAAGCCGCAGACCGTCTGATTTTACAATGAGCTGCATGCTGAACATGGTGGAGACCCTGTCTCCACCCCACCCGCACAAACCACGATGCCCTGAGGAGTTCAAGTCACAGGCCCCTGTCATGGATATAGGGGGAGCGAAGGACAAGAAAGAGGAGGCGACAGAATACAGAGGACATCAGAAAAATGTGGATTGTCCAAGGAGTCTGATGAAGGTATCTGCCAGGGGAGTATTCAACTTTGCAGTGGAATTAAGGAACTTGTTTAGTAAAACAGCAAATAGCTTAACATAGGTCCAGGAGCAACAGTGATTAGCGAAGTACATTGGGCTTGTGAGAATGATTTGCTGGAAGACTTACTCTCTTATGATCGATGATCCTGAGCTTCAACATACCAAATCATGCAACACACGTAAATGTAAAGGCTTACAATGTATATATTTTGAGAAGTGATCACACCTAGATTAGGACAGAGGGCTGAGGTTGCTAGATGATGCGAAAGCAGTAAATCTAAGCTACTTCTAC